AAATACAATTGGCGAAAACAGGAATTGGCATTAAGATATTTCCCCGTAGAAGATGTTTGGTACAAGAGGATAAAATATACGTCATTTACATCAGAACAAAACAAACTTCAAAAAACAACCACACACACAACAGCAACGCACTGCGAGAACAGACGAATACTCTCACAAACAAAAATCAAAACCCAAACCACACAATCCATCTTACAAGGTAAACCAGATTTTACATGTGCAAATGTTTCAAAAAATTTTAATTCGAATGTAATGCTCTTCGCCGAATGGTAAATCGCCGAAAAGTGAGATCGCCGAAACTCGCGCCGAAACTAACATTATCGCAAAGAAAGATCGCCGAAATACATATTATCGAAATAATGATCGTCGATGTGAAGATCATCGAAATAAAGATCGCCGAATTTTTTCGATCGTTTAGTACGAACAATATTGATTTCAACGATCTAATTTTCGACGATCATTCCTTGCGTTTGCTTTTTAAATATATATCATATACTTAAAATCTATTTCCGTATTGCCTCAAAAGCATAGCTGACAGCTTTGATTATCTAAATGAAGGTCATTGAAAAAAAATCATCGAAAACAAGCATCGCCGATATTCACATCATCGATATTAACATCCCCGAAATAACACATTGTCGATAGTAACATCGCCGAAACGATACTTCGCCGAAATGCAGATTATCGAATTTCGGCGATCTTTATTTCGGCGATCTAAGTTTCGGCGAAGAGCACACTTACCTTTAATTCTTCTATTGAAATATGTGATTCAATGTTATATACATATATTATTTATTAGAATTACATTATCTAAGTATATATAAGATTGAGAAGTATTCCACCTGACGAAGTGCCGCCAAGACAGAAACAACGTTGTCGTGGACGGCGTTCTATTCTAATATTATAAGAGAATTTACACACGAAAGTATTCTATTAATCAAATATAATTGATAAGTTTAATTTTAGCACTTATCCAAAGTGGTCTTGCTAGAGAGTGATTATACTCTAACATAAACACACCCCGCATTCAGGCACACCCACACCCTCAATAATGTTAACACAAAAGAATGATCAAAGAATGCAAATAAATAATCAATCAACAATTGATGAAGAAAAAGTAAGCAATTTTTAAAACAACTTGATTTCCTACAAAACAAAAAAAAAACAAAAAAAAAACTATTGTTTATATTTAAGTATGATAATTTAAATCGAATGAATACAAGTCAAAATGATGTTTATATGAATAATACCGACAAAATAGATTGGGATAATGGTATTGATTTTGGCAATATGGTTGCAATTAAAAAGAAAGAAAAAGTAAATAATGTTGGATCGATTAAGACGATATATTTTTTCTCTTGTAACTTTTTTTAAGCCACTACAAGAACAAATTTTATCTCAAAAATTCACTCAACTATCTATCGTAAGAAATACTGAACAGCCAGTTACAATTAAAAACATTATAGATGAAATCGATAAAATCCCAAACTTTTTATCAAAACGAAATAAATCTTTTAAAGCAATCATCAATCAAGCTTTATCAATAACAACAATAATAAGAACAAATGAAATGATAGAGCAATTACGTCAAATGGGCATTTTGATATATAAAACAATATTTATACGAACTCATCATAGTTTATGGTTGACTTATTTTAAGTCAGGCACAGGTAGATTGATTATTCAAGCAAAAGAACAATTAAATTATTCAACAAATTTACCTGTATGGCCAAAAGAAATCAATGCATTAGCACAAAAACCGACACATATAAATAAGGAAAATGAAAATGAGTTTTATATGAATTTTGTCAATAAGCATTTACGTATACTTGATAATCAATTAAAAGAATATGAATGTGAATTAAATAAGAGAATCACTAGTATTCCTGGCAATTCATTACAGGTTCAACATTTAATTGAAACATATGTTGAACAAAATCTCTCTTCACTACGTATGGAAATAGAACATAAAATTCAACTTATTCATTACGATTATCATATTCAAGCATTAAAATTAGAATATTATCGCCATGATCCAAATGTATATCAAGTATGCATAAATAAATAAAAATGATACGACTGTTTTTCACTTCATAAATGTTTTTTTTTTTTTTAGAAGAATTTAATGAAAATGCTTTGTTGTAGTAAATATGAACAAGAACTTACAAAACAAGAATTTGATTTACTTCAACAACAAATTAATTATTACAATTCACCGTGTCAATCATTTGAATGTTCATCTCTATCACAATCAGAATTAATTTATTCGATTCAAGACACAAATATTCGACAAGAATTATTCAATCAATACAAGAAAATCGCTGTACAATCAAGATTAGATATATTCAACCTCTATATGAAGTCAGCAAAAATTCAAATGGATGAATGTAATAAGAAATTCGATACTGATATGAAAAAACTGAAGCATGACCGTCAATCATCTTGTGATAATGAAAAAATATCACCAGTTATGATCGATCTTATCGAACAACGTTGTAATAAAATAGGTGATCGTATTAGATGTACATATATATTTAAAGGAAAATCTATTTGTGTTAAACATAACTAAGAATTTTGAAATAAAGAAACAGTTTAAACAGGATTATTCTTTTGAAATGAGTTTAGAAGCAATAATTTTAATGTTGTTATCTTTTCTTGTATTCTTTTAGATAAATTTTGAATTTTTACAATTACTGAAACATTATAGATTCTCAAATGAATCCAAGCGATACTAATTCTAACAATGATCAACAATTTCCTATTAATGTACGACAAAAAAAATGTCATGGTAATCGACGTAATCAACGTTTTCGAAAAAAATGTCGTGCAAAAGGCATGAAATCAAAAATCATCGAAAAGTTACTTATGAAACGAAATCAAGCTGAAAACCGAAATCATAATAATAGAAAACATACGAATATCCAAAAAACACAATCAAACAAACAAACAACTGATATCAATAATCATTCGAAACCGACGACAATAAATCCAATTAAACGTAAAAGAGATCTTTCATTGCAAGAAACAAGTCAATTATCCACTAGTCAACCATTATCGAAAAAAGTAAAGGAAAAAAATAAAACAATAGTTAATTCTTTAATGCAAAACGATAACAATACTAACAACAAAAAATATCGGTTTGTTGACATGTTTCTGTCTTATATTTATTCAGAGATTTTATTTCTTTAAATAGACGACCCATGTATTTGAAACGATTATTACCGAGATTTTTTAAACGACTCAGTAAAATATTAAAGTATCCATTGAAGGACAAAGTTACACGAGATTTTCTCTGTGCACGATTTGAGTTAATGGATCAACAACATTGTTTAACAGTTGATCAAGAATTATGGTAATCCTATGTAAAAATTGGTTTAGAACATCATATATGGCCTGTAAGTTTTCTTTTTAAAATCATTTTTCGATCATTATTTTTCTCTTTACAACATAGAATCAACTCTATAACATGGCAAACACTACTGATTTTGAACTATGTCAGCAATATGTTATCGAGTATATAGGCGAAATCAATCATGAACTTGATCAATGTCAGATGAAACTAACAAAACAAACACAACCATGTCCAATAACAACATTACCATTAGAACAAATTGATTCACACATGAAAAAAGTAGTTGAAAAAGAGCGGCAATATGTATCATTAAGAAATAATGATCAATTAACCGAATTCAAAGATGATCTACATCGCCAACAATTATTTCAAACTATAAGTCAATATCATTTAAAATTTGACCATGTAAGTTTCTTCATAGAATTGTTATTTTTCATATTATTTCATTTTTGCTTTAGATGAAATATATCCATCAATTAATATCAATACGAAATAAACAAGGGGACATTTGGGACGAACTTCTCATACTGTACATGCGAGTACTATACAATTTTTTATCATCAAAGTTTGATGAATTAGAACAATTTATTGCATCTGATATTTATTCACCAATAATACAGAATAGAATTGCAATTCAAGTAAATAATAACCGTATGAAAATCATTAAAGAATCAAAACGTGTATGACTTAATATTGCTCTCTATGCCTATGAAGTTAAAATACAAGAATATGATCACCAATATCAATGTAAATGGTCTGAATTAAAATCACTATTATTGAATGATAAGACTATCGATGGAGACTTAATTCTCAATCATTTGAATGAATATATGACTTCTCAAACAGCAAAATTAAAAAGTGATATTCAGGGTAATGTGGCATCTTATCGACACACATTACTTCAAAATCGTCAATGTTCAGTATCCTCAAAGAATACAATTCGTGTCTCTCCTGAACCATATCTTGATTTACTAGAAAATCCATTCAATGAACGTGAATGGAATCATCTTTGTCTTGGTTAGAAATTCTTTTTCTCTAGAGAAATTTTCATTATTTTATTACTTTTTTAGGTCCATCTGTTATACGCTTAAATCAAAGTGCCATTCGTCCTGTAGAGCAGCAAGAAGCTGAAATTAAAAATGAACATAAAGAAATTGTGAAAAAAGTTCAAGGTCATCTCATTGAACATCATGGTATTCCATCAAAATCATCTGCTTTCGCAGAATATTCAAATGAAGTTTTGAATCATTTTAATCGATCTTATTTTACTCCATTATCATGCAAAGCACATATTGAAGCGCTTGAACAAGCACAAACGACTGCATCAATTCGACAAAAAATCCAGAAAAATAATCTCATTCTTCGTGTTGCTGATAAGGGTAATAATTTTTATATTGGTGCAGCTAGTGAATTCGAAGAGAAAGGTGAAAAATTTTTCCAAGAAACAAATGCTTTTATGGAAATTTCAATAAATCCATTCAATCAAATTCAAGATCAAGTTATTCAATTACTTAATCGATTACAATCAAAACGACTTATTTTAAAGTGGCAATATAAAGAAATGATGCCTGATCAAAAAAACTCTGAGCTATCACATTTATATTTTAATCCAAAAACTCATAAGGTAACATAGATTTTATTGAATAAATATTGGTAGATTTTTTTTTTAAATATAATTATAGGATGGCATACCAGTTAGACCAATTGAAAGTACAATTCATTCATCAACAAGAAATATATCACAATTTTTAGATAAAATCATACGATCTATATTTGATGATAAATGTGCTTCAACAACTATTATCGATGGAACTTCTTTAATTAAAGAACTTCTAAAATATATTAAAAAAGGTCTCTTCAAATCAACGACACTCTTTTGCACATTTGATATTCGTAATTTATATACAATGTTACCACAAGATGAAGCACTTGATATTCTGGTTGAATTTCTTCGATTTCATGGATACACCAAAGTCAAAGGCATTGATCTTGAAACTATTCGACAATTAGCTGCAATTGTTCTTAAAGAAAATGTTTTTGTGTATGGTAATAAAATTTACAAACAAGTACTTGGTGGTGCTATGGGTTCATCATTTACATTAACCTTAGCAAATATATTCATGTGGAAATGGCAAAAAGAAGTCGTTCGACGACAAGACATGACTGGTGAATTTTACAGCCGATAGGTAGACAAAGAAAAATCAGAGAAAAGTATTTATTTTAATTTTCCTCTTAGATACATTGATGATATTTTTATGACATGGAATAAATCAGAAAAATTGTTAAAAGATTTATTAGATGATGCAAACAAATGGCATCCAAATATAAAATTAGAATATAAAATCGGTAAAAGTCTACCGTTTCTTGATGTTCTCTTTACTAACAATAATGGCATTCTAACAACATCAGTATATCACAAACTAGCAGCTGAACCTTATGTTGTACCATTTCTATCTGATCATCCTCGACATGTCTTCATCAATATTATACAAACTAGTCTGGCACGTGCTGCACGATATTCATCTACATTTGAAAGTTTCAATAATGAACGACGCTACATTCAATTAACACTACTTTATAATGGGTAAGTCCTATTTTTTCTTTCTCTCACATGAAAAATTCCATTAACATATTGATGATTAGCTATCCGTCGACATTTATTGATAAAGAGTTCCATAAGTTTTTTTATGAATATATGAACTCAAGATCATTTCTACCTATTATTGATACTGAACAACAATTTTTCATTATGCACAATAAACTATTAGACCAACCAACGTACAGAGCGTCATAAGTGGCAACAAATGCAGCAACAGCCGACCTCGATAATAACCAAACCGATGACATAATTGCTCAAAGCACAGAACAAACAAAAGAAAAGCTTGCTCAAAAACTTCAGTATGCTGACCGAATACTCATACATTATAACCATGAAAAACGATTTCACTCAATGAAACGAGACATGCACACAGCATACAACAAAGTTTTCAAAAATATACCCGTTGGACATATCAAAATAATAGTTGGGAACCGTAATCGTCGCAATGCAAAACATCAACTGATTCGAAAACGGCCTAAAAAACGCCTACTTCAGAACAAACCGATTCACAGTATGACTTCAACTAAAAAAAAACAATCGAAATAACTAACGAAACCAAAATTATTCCTATGTTTTAGAAGGACGAAAACAAAACCAACATCAGAAACAGAATCAACCAATGCCAAAAGAATAAACCAACCAATAAACAAAGACGGAACATAACTAAATACAAACAGAAAACAATCGTACACGTTAACGGACAATAAGCATATGAGTCATTCTGGTGTCTATTTCCATGTAAAAAAAAATAATCAAAAAATCGATTAAAAATCGATTTTAATCATACACCTTTAATCAATAATTCAAGCAGTAATAATCAAAACAAAATCAGATGATAATCGATTATTTCAAATA